TGAATTAACAGCATTTAATTTATTTTTATTTTAAAGTTAAAATGTTAGTAAATCCTAGACAGGATACTTTAAATCTATCAAAACGTGATAATCAGGTACTATGAAACTTTATTAAGACATTTATTAACATTTAAGAAAATTTATTAAGACATTTTACACTGGTTACCAAAATTCAGCAGTTTAATTTTTTAAAAATAAGTACCCTATATTTAAAAATGCACTTTGAAGCAATTTTTTTTTTTCATAATTACAACTCCAAATATTAATACTTCAACAAATTTTTTAAATTTTATGTAATTCTTTATTACTATTTTAAAAAGAAATAATAAATTTTGAAAAATGTGAAATAAAAGGAAAAAAAATTCTTTGGTTTATTTCTTAAATTATATTTAATTAATATTTTTACGATATCTATTTAAAACACCTCTAACATACAGTCTACTAGTTGTTACCATTATTCAATATAAAAATAAGTTCGTTATTTGTAATCGGTAATTCCAGCTGTGATTATCTGGTGGTTTGTTAATGTATACATAAAGTTGGCACTTCAATAGTTTTTTTTATACAATTATAAGATTAAATTCTATAAAAGAACTTACATAAAACTTCAGAAAATACTTGTTTTGATTTCCAATTTTACGTCTTTTATTTTCACTTATTTATTAAAGATGCATTATAACTTGCTTAGAAATTAATACTAACTTAAATTAGATTTTAAAAACTGTTTTAATTTTTTTCTTTTCATATTTGTTTGATAGCTAATCTCTTCTTTAAAGACTTTCTTCCTTTTTTCTCTCTTAGTTTGATAGAAACTACTTTCTTTTACTTCCTTGTTTGTTTGTTTTTCCACAATGAAAAAAATTTCCATGACAGATTATAGGTGTGGGGATAGTAGTTATCGACCATCTATGAAAAGGTACCCTAACATAAATTCGAGTTAACGCGTCTTATATACTAGTGAATTGGAATTATATCTGTGACAGAATTCGATGAAAGGATACCACTAGTTTATTCATTGCCGTTTTTTGTGAGAAGCCGGGAGAGCGGTATTAAGATCACCGTACTTTTGCTGATCGTGAGAGCTGTATTATTGTTGGTCCAGTGTTGCCATTAGCAGTCGAGTGGTGTATGGGATCGAGACTGTCACAAGTAGCAAATCAACTGCTTAATGTGGACCATCTATGAAAGTAGGCGTGTTCAAATCGAACTGGCGTGTTCATTTTGAAGTAGGAGTTTCTGTCAAGATAGGCCTCTACATCATGTCCAAAGATCACCAATGGTGAGAGAAGTGTCACCCACCATGTAAACCTTCATCTATGAAAAGGTACCCAACCTTAGAATCAAGTCTTATATACTAGTGAATTTTTGTAGAGGTAGATACACTACATAAGTATATAATTAATTATGTCTTCATATTTAGAAGAAAAAGTTTTTAAAATGCGAAACCTAAAGCATCAGTTCGAACCTAACCTGAAATGAACCTAAACTATCACTGTACCACTTCTAAGTGAATGCGAGTAGTAAGCTGTATATCAATGCAATATTTTATAAATTAATCCATTTTCTGCATGAAAAGAACTGTATTCATTAAGTTATATGTTTCAGTGATGATATAAAACTATTATCTAAATTTACAAATAATGTTACAATTAAATAAACTAATTGCAGTAACATAAATTATTTCCGGCTTTACTACTTTTGAAAAGAGAAAATTGTTTTACACGCAAGACCGAAAATAATTCCAATACTTTCTGAATAAATCAATTTTATTTTCAATAAACTCATGGAAAATTTATTAACTAAATTCCAGAGTTTTTTTATTATTATTTTTAAATGGCTTTTATACATTAGCTAATTTTATTTTTAAATTTACTTATAAAATTTTTTTATTAATAAATTGATGTAAAAAAAGTTTTATTCTTAAATTAGCAATTTTCAACATTATGTTTCTTTGGTTTAAATACACTGGCTCTTGTCTATTGCCATAGTCTAATACGTTTTTCTTTTCCCTTCTAAATCTTCAATTTGTTTCTATAATTTAATCAAATATAGGTTAAATCAAAATTATGAGAATGGAGAAATTAATACTTGAATAATATTAATATTATATATAACACATGGATCAATAAGTTCCGAGACTAACCCAGAGATGGCGCTCGTAGTAAACCAGTAACCAGGTCTTTCTAGAGTACTAACCTTTGCTTGAAACGTGTCAAAATTTTAAGTCGATCGGACCAGAAACAGCTGAGTTATCGAGGTTGGAGTAAAGTCGTTTTGTAGTTTGTTTAAAAAATGGAAAAAACAGAGTTTCGTGTTCTGATAAAACATTGTTTTTTAATGGGTAAAAACACCGTGCAAGCGAAACAATGGATTGACAAATGTTACCCGGACTCTTGTCCATCAAAAGCAACGATTTGTCGGTGGTTTGCCGAGTTTAAACGTGGTCGTACCGACACAAATGACGCGGAACGCTCGGGTAGACCTGTGGAAGCCGTTACACCGGAAAATGTGAGTGAAGTGACAAAAATTATAATGAAAGATCGTAAAGTGAAGCTCCGTGAGATTGCTGAGATGACACAGATATCATATGGAAGTGTATTTACTATCCTTCATGAAAAATTGAGCATGAAAAAGGTTTTTTCCAAGTGGGTGCCGCGATTGCTTTCGATGGAACAAAAACAGCAACGAGTCGATGATTCAGAAAGCTGTTTATCG